CATGAACGTTGAGAGGCAGCGTAGCTCCTCCACTGCCAGGCTTTACCCGGCTACGTCGACAGACACGCGGGCTTCACGGGAGCCTGGCCTGGTTCCAGCTCCGAGTGCAGGATTCAGCAAGTTCTTCCACCTGAGTCTGCTTTTACTCGTGAATCGATTGCAAATTATGAACCTTTCCTCTGTGGGTGTCTCTAGAGAACATTTCCCATTTGACGTATGAAAGATGCTGCCATGCACGTAATGTGCATGTTACACAGGGTCCGACTGGACCAGCCCAAGAGATGCTCCCCTGTGACAGGCCGGCCGTTTTCTGCCCATGGAAGAGGAGCAAAGCTCCCGGTTTCAGCTGCTGCTCCTTGTCCAGCTGCGAGCTGGTGCAGGCGGCACTGCCGACCGTGTCGTTCTGTTCCGTTTGGGCCCTGGGAGCACGTCCGCCGCACTGCCAGTCTCTGAAACCTCTCATGGGTGGCGCACCTGCAAGTACTTCCTCCCTGCCTGCTCACCCCCTGTAATCTAGGACAGTGCTTGTGATGTGCCCTGTGACCTTGGTAACCAAGAATTGTCGTTTTAGGTAACCGACGCGGGACTGCAGAGGCCTGGTGCTCGTGTAATGGGAACTCAATTTCAAACATTAGCTTTACTAATACTTTTGAATGGGAGTGTTTTGCGCAGCTCACCTGGCGCCATGGCTGTCTGTGGGGTGGGCAGTTTGCTTTCTCTTCGCTCCCCGGGGGCGAGCTGTGTGCACAGTGTAGTGTGGTACTGGCAGGGCTAGGTAAATGTTCCACGTACGTGTTCCGTGTCACGTACAAGGACAGTTGCCAGGTGCCTTGCCCTCAGAGTGGAAGGTGGTAAGACCTGTGATCTGTTCCCTCCATTCTGCGGTTTTCTAGGTTTCCTTGCTTGTTGAGGTCCAGAATGAGATCACATGCATTCTTCAATGCCTTCGGAATCGGTTACCTTTTAGAGTAACTTAATTTTGGAGGAGTTCCACAATTCCATCAAAATAAGGTAAGCTTACAGGGCTCTATTGTGTAGTCTGGTGGATGCTTTTGGCGTATTGTATTAACACACACAATCTCCTACAACGGTTTGCAGTCGTGGTCAAGGAATATTTGGTGCTTGGTTGGTTGTATTAAACGTTGGCAGCTCTGGCTCTCCCATACCCCTAACTTAGAGAAAAACCGTCCCGATGGGCCCACATGTCATTCAAGTAGCATGTTTTCAAGACCTCTGCTTGTGGGATTGTGTCTCTGCTGCAACGGTTTGGGTGCCATTGTCAGGGCTTGTTTGGTGTCAAGCGTTGTGGTGTGATTGGCACTTGGAGAAAGCAAAGCAAAGCTCTCCCCTGCGTAACTGTGATTTGCCTGTTGGGGGATTTCTGTAGCTTCCTACCAGAACTCCAGAGAGTGTAAATCCCTAAATGAGGCAGTTGCTAGTGACATGTATTGGAAGTGAAATCCCCTTTCCGGCCTGTCAGCGCGTATGAGCCCTCATGCTGGTGGCTCGCGTTAACCCAGCGACCGCTGCGGCGCATTCCCCGTTCAAGGCACCTCACAAACTCCTACGTGACTGGCTCTCCCTCGGGCACGTAGCGTGGCAGGAAGGAGGCGCATGGGCCTGGAAGGCACTCGGTCCCGCTCCAACCCTCAGACAAGGGAGCCCTGCGGTGGCCCGTGGTGCAGCCATTCCTTCCTTAGGGAATGCGTCAGGGTTGGTTCGAGCACTTTCAGCTTGGGCTTTGGCTTCCTGTGAGACATCAGCTGGTGGTGGGATCCTGGTGCTTGTGGGCCATTAGCCTGGCTCTCAAGACGTGCCCAGAAACATGCCAGGAACAGGGTGGAATGGCCTCCAGGAAAACCAGGATGCTCAGGCAGCGTCCAGACAGAGACCTGACTCAAGTGACCTGCAGCGTGTTTATCCTGCAGTCACATTAGCACCAGAGCTATTGGAGCTGCATCCCTGCAGTCTGAGCTGTTGGCTACTGCTCTGTACGAGCTCTGAGAAAATGTGATTATCTTCATTGTGGCGTTTGACCTTACTTGCTTCCATTATACGTGAAATCTATTGGAATCCATTTCTATGTATTCATCTCTTCAAGCCGGCTCGAAATGCTAGATAATGGCAATGATTAGCATGGGGAGCTGGCTGTTTTTCCTTTTAAATGTCAAAACTCATTAGGCGAATTTATCTGTAGCCGACGTGTAGAAAATCTGTCTTAGCTCTTTGCCTCTTAAATGGCTCGTCACGCACTGCTCTGGTTCTTCTGCTTAGTGAGACTGGGGATGTGACCGCGTACACCTTTAAACAGGAAACCGATGAGCCTGGGCTAACCTTCACGGTTACACGCAAGGCACGCCCCCACCCCACTGCTGCCCCTGTATCCAAGGCAGCAGCACTGGGGAGAGCAGGGAGCAGGCGGAAGTTGGTGTTTGTGGTGATCCGGCTTTTAAGCCGGCTCCCTGCACATACCAGCTCCCGCAGAGCTGGCTGCCCCTCCCCCTCTCCCCATGCTGCTGCCTCTGATACACGGTTACAAACCCCCCACTTTTAACATTGCTATTGCAGACAAGGTACGTTTGTGCTGAAATACAAGTGGAATCGCACTTCCAAACGGGTACTTACTAAAGGGCCTTTGCTGCTGGGGAAGCCAGCACGAGGGAGTGGAAGGGTCAGAGGGGCAGGAGCCTGACAGGAGGGCCTCTCGCTGCCCCACGGTGAACTGGAGCTGTTCTGAAAGACCCACTGCTGCGAGCCTTTCGTTGTGGCTCCACCGGCGTGGTGGAGCGCGGACGTAGACAGGAGTGCGCTCGGAGACGCGTGTATCGCGCCGAAGCAGGAGTGATAAAGCGACAGCCGGTAGATGGAAAGACGAGCCCTTTGGATCAGGACTACCCAACTTTGGAAGCCCCGGGGGCCACAATGATACTCTCAGCACATGCTGAGGGCTGCCCCTTAAGTATGGTTGCATAGACGCAAATATATGCAAATAGCTCCTTTCCCACAATGCCCTGGCGCTCCCGGCACCTCCTCCCTGGAGCTAGAAACGCTGACACCCTGCACCCGCCTGTTCCAGCCAGTCCGTCCGCGTGCGTCTGTCAGTGCTCACCCTGCCTGGGAGACACCGCGCCGCTGTGGGGCGTGTTCCTAGCGGAGGCCACGTTCAAAGGATCCCCCCGCGGGCCGCGTGCTGAGTAGCCCTGCTTTAGACCATCGCCTGAGTCTGCCACGGGCTCTGCCTGTTGAGTTTTACTCCTCACTGAAGTGATTTTCAGAAGCGTCCCTAAGGGGGGGTCGTGTATTCAGACCAGAAGACTTGCTCCGGGGGAGGGGGAAGAACTTCTGGCCTCGGGGCTGTGCCCCTGAGCGCTGCCCTACTGTGCCGGGGCACTGCTTGAGGGAGTCAGCCGGGGCCTAGTGTGGAGGGCTGTCCAGCCATAGTCCTGATATGCAAACACTTGATCTCCTCTTGCCTCCCCTAGCGCCAGACCCCAGGGCTGTATTCGGGGCGCTGGGATCTAATGGATTGAGCAGGGGGATTGGGAAACAGGAATACCTAGGCTCTAGGCCTGAACTCTGGGGAGCGGGACCTTGTGAGCCCGTGCCTCAGTTTCCTGTCTCTGAAAGGCGGTTCAGAAGTGCCTGCCTGCCCCAGTGGGTGGCTGAGGGTTGGCTCACGATGCTTTGATGTTGAACCTGCTATCACCCAGTTTCCTGCCCGCTCCTGCACTTGTCTGCCCACCTCTTGCTGGAGAAAAATCTGTTACCAGCCCAGCGACCCTCTGACAAGCTACGGACCTTTCAGTGCCTGGCAGCCCCCTGCCACCCTGGCCCCTTGCCCACGTATCACGGCACAGACAAGGGACCTCTCCCGTCTTCAGGCGTCGGCCTGATGATCCAATATCCTACATAGCAAGGTCCCTTGTGCTCCAGCCTTTCATCCCGCCAGCTCTGAGGGCTCAGCTCTGTCTTCTCTGCTGCAGTTTCAGCCTCCATGTGCCAGCCACGTCGCTTTGGTATCCCTGCATGAGATGGAGCCCCGTTGGCCTGCTGGCCTGTGGTTGCCATGTAGAGTGATTGGTCCTAGGACTAATATTGACATTTCAGGTCAGTAGGTTACAGGCAGACTTGGACAAGTGTCCCTGTGTAGCCAGTGTGTGTTGGGCTCTGGTTCCCCGTTGGTGTGTGTGAGCGGCGCTAGCCACACCCGTGCCCCTGGCTTTGGTGCAGCCTGATCTCCCAGGCTTAGTGGAGCCTGTTCTCTGCGCTCTGGCAGGGCGACAGCCTGGCTAGGGGCTCCAGGGCGGTGTGCTGTGATTCCGTCTGGCCTCGGAGTCCTTGCCCCCGAACAGTGCCGGGAAGCAGGGCTGACCTGGTCCTATCGCGCCGGCGGCTCGTCTGGGCCAAGTAGTGATGTTGCCCTGATAGGACCAGATTCCAAAGACCTTGCCTCCCTCTGTTCCTGCAGAGCTTCCCACTGTAAATCGTACCCCTCCCTTCCTGTCCGAAAGCGGTGCTGTGCTCTCTGCTGCTGCGAGCCACAGCCCTGCTCTGCCCGAGACGGAGGCATGTCAGCGGGGGCAGAAGCCTCCTAGATCTCCGCTCTCACGGGGTGCGGGGCGCATTGAGAGCCTGTTAAGAAGGTTCCCCAGTGGAGGTTAAAGGGTGTGGTAGGGTAGATTGACTGGCTCTTTTTGCAGACGTCCCCGACAGAGACGGGCGTTTGCCTGCCCGGGCAGAGCATCGGGTACTCCTCTCGGCTGCCTGTTGGCATCACAGAGCGGGAGCATGCTCCCGGCCACAGAAAGGGGAGCAAAACCAGCCCCCACAGCTGGCAAGAAACATTCCAAGCCTTCTCGTTCCTCTCCTGCTACTGAACAGAAAATCAGTCCAGCCTTGGAACGGCCGCAGCGCAGCGCTCTTCTGGTCTGCATCACGGGCGGCGCTTGCCTGCCACCGCCCTAGGAGGCACCGATTAACCCAGCCGTCTGTCTTTGCAGGTTGTGTCATTACCATCTCCGGACGCATGACCTTCACCAGCAATAAATCCATGGAGATCGAGGTCTTTGTGGACGCGGATCCGTTTGTGGATGAGCCCAAAGAGCGATACCGAGCGGTCAGCGCGTTCTTTACCTACGTGTCCCTGAGCAAGGAGGGGAAGCTGCGGCCTGTGGCACAGCTGATGGTAAGAATGGGAAAGCAGCTGCCTGTGGCACAGCTGATGGTAAGAATTCGCGCCGCCGGTGTTGTCGTGGGCAGCCCTGGCCTGTGGAGCAGCACGGGGCCATTATTCACTGTAAGGCCTCGCCCCGTCCCCAGCAGAGGCCCCGAGTGCTGGCCGCTTGCCCCGGCCCTGGAAAGGCCGATTTGAGCTATTCCCGGCCCAAGGCGAGACTCCCTGGAGGAGCCAATTCACACGGGAGTCGTGGGGCCTGCCTGGCCTGGCCAGCGGCTTCCCGCTTCCTGGGCATTTCCTGTTCTTAGCTACGCTGGCTTGTCCTTGAGCGAGCCGATCTGGCGAAACGCCCCCAGGCCTTGTCTGGCATTTTCTCCCTCTTGCCGATTAACCCAGCAGATCGGCTAGAGCCTGTGGCCCCGTTTGGAGCCATTCACTCAGCTGTGGCTACCTGGCCTGTGTAGCCCAGGGGCTTGCTGGGAACCCTGCTGCGGACGCTGGAGAAATGCCCCCTCAGGCTGTAACTGCCCTGGGACAGTTTGGGTGCCCGGGGAGGCAACAGGCAGCCGCCTTGCCTTGAGACCCAGGCTAGGGAGATCCCCAAGCCGAGTCGGCAGTGTGTTGGCTGCTCTGCTGCTTCTCTGCTTGGGTCTGATCTCACAGCCAGCCTCAGGCGATCGCCCCCCTCCCCCTCCAAGGTGGGAGCTTCTGGAGCCCCGGGCAGCAAGGGAAGAAAGCGGCTAGTTACCGAGGACTTTCCCCCACTGCCTCGGGGTGCACATGGGAGTCCTTGCTAGCTCGCTGGCTGCTGTCCCCGCGCTGCATTTCTGCCCCGCTGTGAGGGTCCTTTCGCCTTGATAACTCTGTGCAGCTACCGCCTGGTGCTCTGCTCTTGAGAGCCGCCGTAGCTAGCCGGCCGAGTGCGCTTCCTTCCAGGGCACGGGAGTAATTGTCCCCTGCGCGCGGTAATTGGGCTCGTCCGGCGGGGGGGCCAGGAGCGAGCCACTCGCAGCTCTGCTTTTCTCCAGGGAGCAGTGACTGAGCGAGGTCAGGACATGGCTCGTCACGCCTCCGCAGGTTGCACTTGGTGTCCTGCGCCCGGCCCTTGCCCTGCTCTCGCTGAGGCTTTGTGAGCCCTCCAGCACACACGCTCCCCCTCGGTCATGGCAGGAGAGAAGCAAACTTTTTCCTATGTGCAATTTAGGGAAACCTCCCTTCTACCTGGATCTCTGCTCCTGTATCTCATGGACAGAGACCAGGCCAGGAGTGTTCGCACCGGCACTGTGATGATGTGGCCCGAACCCTAATGCTGGGGAGCAAACTCCACAATACCTGTGCTAAACGTTGGATTCCCCCCGCCTTCTCCTCTGGATGACTCGGGAAGGGAGAGAGTTTCTGGGAGGGCTGCTGCTGCAGGTCACAGTGGCTGCAGCACAAAGGGTTTCAAAGTGCCCCAAACTTCCTTTCCCTCGACGTGCTGGTGGGAGGTTTGTCTTTAGTAAAGACGTAGCACGCAGCCGTTCAGCTGCACCTGCCTTGCTAGCTTGTGTGGAAACAAACGTTCCCGTCTTTGCTTCAAGAACGTCTCATTTCTAGTTCATTAACGGCTGAATAGCTTGCACACTTCAGCTTTTCGTGTCCTGTCCTTAGGGTTTTGTTGTCTAACAAGATCTTTCCTTCAATTATTCAGCAGCGAAACAGAAGCATAAATAAGTGGTTGCAAAGCAAGCCTTGCCAACCTTCAAACTGGGGAGATTTCAGTACAAACGCTGCTTCTCTTCTCTTAAACGCGGCTTTAGTCACTCGCCTGCCTTGTTAGTGATCAAAGGCCGGTGGGGATGTGAATGTCTGAACGAAGAGAGGGCCCCGCCGCCCGCTGTGCAGGAGCTCGCTCCACGGCGGGCTGGTGCTGAAGCAGCCCCTTCCCCATTCACTCTTGCCAGTTCCGCGGCGGCGGTTCGGTGTATTTTTAGCTCTCCTGAGCTGCAGCGCTTTGCTGACACGCAATGCAGCGCTGCTGACTTGGAGGTATTGCGTGATTGAATATTGTACGCCCTGGAGATCCCTTTCTGCACGCCGGCATTTAAAGCATTTTGTGGGCTGCTAACTTAGCCAGCAGAGCCGTGTTTATCGGCCACACCTGTTTGCCCCTTGTATCCATCTGTAATGTGCTGCTGGGAAGAAAACCTGATAGCTGGGGCTGTCTACTGCGTTCTTCGAAAGGCGGCTGAATATTGATGGATACGTGGGGGGCTCTGTTTACCTCGGTTATCTCACACCACGAGGGGCCCCATACAAATCGACTTGTGGACTGTTTTCGGTAGGGTCTGTGTATTCTCCTGCCTTGTCTGAAGGACACAGACGCAATGACACTACTGTCTCACCTGCTAGCTTGTTACTGTGCGGCGGCTTGTGGCTGGGGGCTGGATACAGAATAATGCTTGATCCCTGAGACACCAAACGTCACCGTCCCCTTGGCTGGATTCATGCTGAGCCGGTCGCACTCCTCGAGCGTCAGGCCTGGGGTAGGCCCCCAGACCCAGAGATGCGCAGCGTCTGCATGAGCTGCTGTCAGACGTAGCCTGGCCCTGGGTCCCCCGGTGCCTCTCGCCCTCCCGGAGCGGCTGGCAGGTGCAGCAGCTCCCTTTGTGCCAGGAGCCGGGGGGAGAAGTTCATCTCTGCTCGAGTTTGAGGAGGGGTTAATTGGGAGAAGTACTCTGAGCGCTCGCTGCTCCTCATCCGTTCTAGCACAGCGGCAAGTGCAGTCACCGACAGGATTACCACCGAGGGGGCAGAACTCCTGCAAGACCAGGGGGAAGGGCACTCACCTTCATCAGTGTTTTATAAAGTGCCACTTGAATGAGTCTGGTCTTTCCCGGCCTGCGGGAATCGAGATTGTGGAGCATCTGACCACTTGGATGTCTCTGCCCAGTTTTCTGAATGAGCTCTGCCGTTCTGAATTGCCTGGGGAGGTAGAGTACATGACCGCTACTCAGGGAGCAGATTCAGCCAGATCAGCCTCCTCCTTGGATTATCGGGACTTCTCTCTAGGGTTGGAATTCCGCATGTTCTGAATTGTGCCGCTGTTGCGTGGGGCCCGTTTGCAGGAGGAGTAACGGTAGTTGGAATTAGGAGCTTTAATTGGAACTGCCTAGCCCATGCCGCGTGTAGCCGCAGGCAGGGAGTTCGAACTAAGGGGGATTTAAAAATGGCGGTGCCCGGGAACATGCAAATAAAGCCTGGGATATTTTAATCCCGGGCTTCATTTGCAAGTTGGAACGACTACATTAGCCACCCTAGTTCGAACTAGACATACCCTCAAGGTTCTCTCCCTCTGATACTGCTGAGCGGTCCTTGCTCTGGTTTGGAAGTGGAGTACCAGGGTCTGGAATGTACCAGATAACCCCAAATACAGTGGGTTCATAGAATCCCAGGGCTGGCAGAGACCTCAGGAGACATCGGGTCCAACCCCCTGCCCAAGGCAGGACCAACCCTGACTCCATCATCCCAGCCAGGGCTTGGTCAAGCCGGGACTCGAACACCTCTAGGGATGGAGGTTCCCTCTCCATGGGGAAACTTCCCCCATCAGCCCAGTTGCCTGAATGTCCGTACTCAGGCTTAGCCGACGCTAGAGACTCGTGGCTGCGTAACGGTGACCACAGGCCTAGTGGAGACCGCGCTCTGCCGACATGGCCACTGCCTCTTGGGGCACTGGAGCAGCCGTGCTGCCGGGAGGCTTTTCCCTCCACATAGCTAGTGTCTTCACTGAGCGCGTCGGAGGCACAGCCGGGCTGCTGCAGTCAAGCCCTGAGTGACTTGATTCACCTACCTTGTGTATGCACTGTCTGTCCTGTGTGTGTGTACTGTGTGTACACGCGTGCGTGCACGCACACACATGCACACGTGCACACACACGCACGCGCACACACCTATCGCATCCATCACAAACTATCCCACTTTAACGCCTCGGTGGAGAGTGGAGGGATCTGAAATTCTCGGCAGAGCAGAGGGGGAGCGTTAGCGGAGAGCTTGGGGTCTCTGCGCAGTGTTTTCAAAGTGACGGCTGCTTGCCCGAAGGGTGCTTGGAGCTCGTCACAGTCTCTTTGAGGATGAATGAACTCTTGGTGAGCTGTTAAACCGAGATCTGCGTTCCCAGGCAAGGCCCTGTCAAACCGCAAACGGGTCTCCTCTAGGATTCATCTTTTCAGTCCCAGGAAGGGCGGTCAATTAGATTTTAATTCTAAATGTGCTAATGAGGCCCATTACCCCTACTTTGGGAACTTACCGACTCAGTACTCAGACCAATGACCAGTGCGTGATCTTGTTTGTCCCAAACTGGTCCTGGAAAGATTGTGACCCATGCCCCCTGGCACTGGAAACCATCGTGACCTGGTACTTTTCCATGAGGATGAGGATTGTTAAACAAAGGATCGCTGTCTGGGGAGAAGTCTCTTTAAAGAACGGAAAGCTATCAGGTCTTTGTCTTCAGCTGGCCTCTGAAACTGCCTCTCCCACCCCAAGAGGGATACACATGAAGAAACCTGGCAACAAACAACTGAAAAAAGCTGTAGATTCAGGCTGGAGTAAAGAGAACTCCGACTTGAAGCTTTTTAGCTGAGATAAGAGCAGCTGTTTAGGGGAAGAATTTGCATCTGTCAAGTTTCTTAGTGGATTAGGAGATGCGCTGGCAGTTTGTTTATTTTAACTTAGTAACTTACTTTGATCTGCCTGTTTTCATTGCAGCCACTTAAATCCTACTTTTTATATTTAATAAAAACATGTATCAAGCCCAGTGTAAATAATTACCTGGGGGGAGCAACCACTGTGCAGCTCTCTCGTTCACTGATCAAGGGGCTGACCTGACGAGCTTTCTCTGTGTTAAACTTTTATCCAGGGTAGGAGGGATTTATTTGGGGTCTTGGTCCCTTTTGAGGGTGGATTCCTGGGTGATGAGCCCATACAGCTGAGCCCTCCCGGAGCTGAGCCGGTTCCGTGTCTGTGCTGCTCTG